TAACTCTGGTAAAAACAGATCACACCTTTTCACATTTTATTTATTCATCAGACCGTTCAGATATAAATGCTGTCATTTATGTGGGCGGCCAACACTAAATCTCTTACTTTCACTCTACCCTGTTTTACCCTATTTTATTATTTTTGTATTGAATGTAGGACAACCAGACAAAAATAGGCGAAAGGATCCTTTCCCATTGCCAGTAGACGAGATATCCTTGTTTTTTCCCCGTTGTGTCACGATGAAGTCACAAGCACCAAGCAGGTTAGTGCACATCTGAGAGGAGCATGTTACAGCTACCGTTTTTATCTGTCTCTCTTTCACAATCATTGCCGACTAAATGAGAACTAACTGGCTGCTGTTGGTGGTTCCTGTCTTTTTAAGCGCCACTGTCAGGAACTCCAACCTGCAGGGTTGGTTATAACCTTCCCCACATATCGCTGTATTGGCTGTTTCCATTGGGAAAGTTTATTTCGTTACCGTTTTAGCATTTATTTATAGAAATTGCCTTCAAAAACTTGACAATGAGCATGAGTAGTTCAATCATAGAATGTAAAATTCCTTTTCAGTTTTTAAATCCAGTATCCAATAAACACGAATATTAGCAGGGCCATGACCTCTGTGACCTCAATGCTAACTGTTGCCGTGAACAGTGGGTTTAATACAAGTGGAATTAGGCTGGGCTTTACATCAGCCACTATGGACACAAATTATGCAATCTGACCATACTCATCTTTGTACTCAGCAATCACCCTCGTGCACTCAATTGTAAGCAGGAAGTGTACTCTGTTATGAGACATCATTTAGAGGTATTTTGTAGACATGTTCAAGAGATTGTTAAGACATTACCTGTTAGCTCATTCTGTACAGAGACACTTACAGATGATTACAGCATTGTACAGCTACAGGGATACATATCTTCATCAGAGGATCACCTACATTTATATTCAAAAGGATCCTACATATATCATATAAAGAAAATAAATCAATGTAACACATTTTCTTAGGAAAGAAAACGTTGTTTATCAAAGCATAATTAAATAGTGGGTGGTCATGAGAAGTGTTATCTCTATGATGTTGACCTTCTGAAACTTCCTCAGAGATTTGAGCTCCTCTGACTTAGTATAAACGTCTTATTGTCATAAACCGATTGAAATAATATGGAATCAAAATGTTAATCAATAAGTGCAGGTTTGCAGTTTTTTTTTAATATCACATCAAATACTGTACACCAACAAGACTTAAATAAGAATTCTATAATTCACCTAAGACAATCAGTCAGTTTGAAGAATCACTGAGTAACTTTATGACACCTCATATACCCATGCCCAGTATTTAGCTTTTTTTTATCTGTGCCATACAAATGCAGCAGATGCATGTATGAAAACATAAATAAAACTTGATGCCTAAGAAGGCATCCTGAGTATTAATCAGAAAACGCAAAACTCCTTCGTCCGCAGGATTTGATGTATGGAAAGCTTATACTGCATGGATATTCAGAGATTGCATGAGCAACAAAGACAGAGAACAATAACTCAAAAGTATAACACACACACATTAACACACACACACAAACTGTGGGTCTCACACGCCAATGCATACTGTAAATTATGACAGACTTTTGTAATGTATGGGAGGTGTCTGAGCAGGCAGGACATGCATAATATAATAATACATATGCATGAAGAAATGTAACAGTCACAAGCAGCTTCTGAGACTGAAATATGTCCAAACATTTAAAAATAAGTACTGTGTTTGAGGCAGGATGCATTGGAATACTGTGCTAACCTTGCCTTTAAACGTATAAGGCATTTGGGATATGTAGAGTGGTTCCCATACTGGGGGTCAAGACCCCTAAGGAGTCACAAGATACATCGGAAGGGTCGCAAGGGGGGGGGAAATAAGAATTCTGTTAAAACGTTTTTTTTCAAACATTTATTTCATTTACTAGATAAGTTCATTACTTTGTGTCTTTGAAAACAATTGAAATTAGTCCTTTGGTTGAACTGAAAGTGACATTTAGCATCTTGATTCTGAAGGTTCATAAGAGAGATGTGGGGCGTTAGTTTAGAAGAGGATGTTTCTGCTCAGGATTCTTGGGAATGTGTGGGTCATGTGACTTCAAATTGAACCAAACATGTGACATGAGTGAGTGACAATAAACTGATGTAACCCATTGGCTTCAATGAGAGAGTCTTTACAAATAAAGACTTTATGTAACAATGTGAGTAAGGGGAGCACATTAATTTGATCCATAATGACTAGAGCCTGATGATGTCTGAATATGCAGATTTTACAAAAAGTCGATTACTTAAAGTTGTTTAGATAATTTATTAAATAAAGAATGATCAGAAAATGATTTTAAATACTTATTTAATTGTCAAATAAATAAAATGATTAAAATATTCAAAAATATTTTAGCATTACAGTAGATCTGTATAGATATGAATTAAAAAAAGGAACTATAGCATGTGTTGTTTGAGAGCGGCACCAAACACCAGACTGGAGCTTCAAGGCCTGAAAATGTACAGGGAAGCACACGTGCAAGAATCGATTGATTAGCAAATAAAACAGTCATTTTCATTAGACTGAACTTAGCTCTCTGTCCGCCGCACACACAGCTCTGCTCTGAGTGTTGCATGTTGTATTCTCTGCTTTAATATCTGCATGCGATGAACTCCAGAGGGTTGACCATAGAGGACCGCGCGTGCATGCATGAGCGTGTGCGTGTCCGATAAATAAAGCAGAGTCTGTCTTATATGTGTCAGGGGAATAAAGTCTCGGTGTAAATCACTTTTCCGACTGGCAGCGCACATTACACGCACCGTGGCATGATTCCTTTTCTCTCAGCTCACGCGCTCCTGTCTTCTTTATCAGCTCGTTTACCATTTCATTTATTTCAGATGAGAATTCAGGGACCCAAATTCAAGCCCCCGCGCCTTCAAACAACAACTGCACGGTTTTACTTTTCCTCCCGTCAGAATGTTATCCCAGATTCAATTTCAGATAGACTAAGGATTTAGCCAGTGATGATTTTTGGTCTTTCCGAGACAATATTTAATATGCTGAAATTAGATCCGTTTTTATCCCTCCCCAAAATAATTTCTCAATATATATTTGTGTCAGATCTCGCGTTGACACAAACGCATGATAAGCTCGCCTGTGTGCCTTATAATCATCTCTCTTCCAACACCCTCATCAGGATCATCAATGGTGTTTTTCTCCAACCTCTCCTCGAGGGGACTTTCTCCTCCTTTTCATTTAGGACATTAGTACGCCTAAATACAAAATCACATTCTCATCAGCTACTTATCAAAGTCCATTTACTGAAGATGATTTCAGGGTAAAATGAAAAGACAATAATGTAAATGACCCATGGCTTTTAATTAAAAATGTCCTGCCCCCCTCCTCCTCCTCTTTCCGCTATTTGTATTTCATCTATTTAATATTTGGTGGACTTGAAGTGTTGTGCAGAGAAGGTAAAAGGCGGGTGATGTCCCCCTCCTCGTTGACTTTTATCACCAAATGAAGCATATAAATGACCTGAATTAAATAAAAATAAAGAACAATTATCCTCTCCTTTCTCTCTGATCTGGCGCTGAAAGGAGTCCCGGAGAGATAAGGCAGATTGAATTCTCCTCTGTTGTGCTCCAATAAAAACGTCAAGGGGGGAGGAAGAGTTAAAGAGAGATTTAAAAGCCTCCCTATAATTTCAAATCATAATTTCCCTCCTATTATACCTCTCACACGCGCGTTTATCGTTAGGGTTATTTATTCCAGGGCGATGTAAGTAACCACAGTCAATTTCCGTGACTAAGTTGGATAATTACAGGCATTGAGTGCACGCGGCAAAACTTTCTTTTAAAATGTAGAAAATATGAAGTGATTTAAAACAAGAGCAAGGTTCGCCTCATTTTCTTTGCGGGAAAAATTTATATCGGTCTGCTGCTGCTCCTCAAAGTAATTATAATTGTCTAATTTCAAAGTTGAATTGGGATGCTTTAGGGGTTTGATGTAAAACTTCACATTCGGTTCAATGAAGTGTCACCCTAATTTACAGCCGTAGATAAGGACTAAGTCTGTCATAAAAATCTCTCCCCCATTCTTCCTCCCCAGGATTGAATTGCACCTTGGGCAATAGTGCAGAATCCTGAATCTGAACTTCTCCAGCATATGTTCCTGGCAGATAAGTAAACAATTTGGATGTGGAATGACATTTTTAATTAATACTACACATTCGTTTAATATGAGGATACACCGCGGTGCGCAAATCCTGATCTGCATTGACAGAAAAATAAATTTAAAATCTGTAAATGCTTGTATAATTCATACTGTAAGCTTTTTCCATTCAGTATTGTCTTAATGGGAGTCAGACCGATATCACTCACAAGTTTAAACAGGTTTTAACTCGTGTGAATGACTTGGGGATAAAAGGCTTTAGCGGGCTCATGGCTGCAGCACCTTTTTCTTTTTTAAACAGTAAACAGAGACATTTAAACCGCAGTGTAGTGGTGGGAGCAAGCCAGCACGCTACAAAAGGGAAGGGAAAAATCCCATCATTGAGTTTGTTCCATTAGTTAAAGCTATAATTAAGAGAAGTGATTAAGCAGTCAGACAGGTCGGACGGGCGGGATCCCTCAGGGAGGCCTCCGCGGAACCGTCAAACTTCAAACAGCCAGTTCATCTGCGAGTCACAGAAACACCTTCCTGCCTCAAACCTGTTCCATCATCTACACACAGCTGCAGACAGACGGAGGAAATAAAGCTGAAGGAGTCTGACAGCTTAAACAGCAACAAGAAGAAGATCGATTTTGGAAGAAAAAAAAGACAATTGATTTTGATGTTATTGTTCTGTCTTTAGACTATGATTAGTTAGGGTCAAGGTGGGTCTTCCATTTGAAATGTAAAAAACAATCTAGGAATTGTTTTTATTTATTTCTGACTGTATTTGTATGATAAATCTATTTTTTTAATTCCAAGCGTTTAAAAAATAACATTGTATTTTTGTTCCTAATTTAAATGATATTTAATGAGGCATTGCCAAGTTTCCTTCCCCGCAGCACCTACACAGCATTCCACTATCTCTGTCATCTCAAGTACCCAATAATAAGCTACAAATACAGGACATTGATAGCGTTGAAGACAGATTGTCTTTATTTCGAAACGCCTTTGCTCAGCAATTGAACAAAGAGCAGGAGGTATCAACCTTCAAGATACATTATCCTTTCCATAATATGACAGGTTTTAAATTACCATCTTAGATCATAATACACATTTAACTCCTTGAATTCAAATAGAAGTTATCCTGATTAAAAAAGGAAAACAAAACAAAAAATGACGCGAGATATTAGCACTGAACCACAGGAAAAATGAAAATAAAACATTTGTATGTTTTTTCTTTTTGTCATCTTAAATAGACCGTCTAGTTTAATGTGCCAGTTTTTGATAAATATAAACAATATGACCCGTAAATAATCCAGCCTATAGGTCCTGATTTTGACCCTATAATCCAGAACATCATAAAATTACGAGTGCCAAAAACTCAGACTATAGTTAGGCCTATACAGGAAATAAGAATGCTAATTGTGCAAGCCAAATTTTCCAAAATAAAAGAGTTCCCTATCAATAATCAACAAAAATCAGCATATCAGCATTGAAATGTACAATAAATAAAGTTAAAGGCCTCCCTTTTTCTGGTTGCCATACACGTTATAACATTTACATTTCTTACAGTTCCAGGGTCCTCTGCAGCAGCTCTTCTGCTCAGCTCAGGAACTTGTTCGGTTTCTGGAAAAGTTAGTTTTTTTCTCTTTTTTGCCATTACAAGTCCAAGGCAGTTAATACTGTTCATGCCTTTGAATGGGCGCGCTGTCCATAATATATTTACATGCATTGATTTCAGTATTCAAGTGAATAGAAAAGAAATAAAGAGTCTTGAGGGTTACATGGCAGTGGCGTGTGCGGATGAATATGGGTCTAGCCCAGTCTTGGTCATACCTGGAAAAAGTATGTAGGCCACCGGGGGCTGTAAACTGGACGTGGACCAGGCCGTGCAGTTACACGGGACCACGTAGCCCGGGTTAGTGGGCGATGGGTGGGTGTGGGTGTGCTGGCTGGGACACCCAAGGGTGCCGAACGCGCCGTTCTGGTATCCCAAAGAGGAAGCGTACGGCAAAGAGCTAGCGCTCAGCCCGTGGGGCATCTCCGTCATCTTCTGGAGGGCGCTGGAGGTGAACTGGCTCGGGTCGAGGAAGGAGTACGGGGAGGTCGGCGGCAGGAAGGCTCGGGCTTTCTCCGAGTGGCACAGCAGGGACTCGGCGGACATCGGGAGTCCCTTCAAGTGATCGGTGTCCCCGAGGTAAGGCAGCGGGAAAACGTACCTGTCCTTCTTCAGCAGGTTCTTGGGTTTGCGCCGGGGCCGGTACTTGTAGTCGGGGTGCTCCTTCATGTGCTGGGCGCGCAGCCGCTTAGCCTCGTCGATGTACGGTCTCTTCTCGGACTCGGACAGCAGCTTCCACTCGGCGCCCAGTCTCTTGCTGATCTCAGAGTTGTGCATTTTGGGGTTCTCCTGGGCCATTTTTCTCCTCTGGCCCCGGGACCAAACCATGAACGCGTTCATGGGTCTCTTGATGTGGTCAGCAGGCTTTGACATCTTTAAAAAGTGTATTTTTTATCCGCAATGTTAATGACGAGGAAAAGTTCTTATCGCAAGCAAGGGAAACTATTCACCTGTGTCGATGCCAGATATCAGTCATGCCCCGTCTGGGATGTTCTGAGTGTGGAAAAGAGCAAAAATAAAAGAGAATAAAATAAAAATCCAGCGGCCGTGTTGCTTCTTCCAGAGTTAAAACACTGATGCGCCTTCGTTCAAATCCGGATACAAGTCTCTTTCAGACCAGCAGCAGGCAATACACAGAAAAAATACATGTAAAATGCACACACGTAAAGAAATCCACAAAGGTGAAAGCAATGTTCCGCAGTCAGCTTGCAGGAGTCGTAAAAAGTGTTGTTTTTTTCCCTGCGACACACTCTTCCTCTCTCTCTCTCTCTCTGAGGTCTGTCGGCAGGCACCTGGTTGGAAATGAGCGGAAGAGCGTGAATACGAGCCAAAAGCGGTGGAGTTCAAAGGCTGGGCTGGTTTGGTTTCTGCACGCAATCTGACATAATCTGCAGGGCGTTCACTCTGCAACCTGCGCGCCAATCAGCACGCAGGGCGCCTATTATAATACCTCCACAGAAATATATGTACATTACAACATAAACAAAGAGCGGGTGGTAGTAGAAGAAGAAAGAAATAAGGGAAGAGGGGTGTGTGCGTGTCTGTGGAGGGGTAATACTCCGCAATTCCATTTAATGAATCGCAACAAACACAGACCTTCAACCTCTTTACAGTTAAAACCTGACTTCTATCCAGAGGTGACCGTGCACACAATTTAAGCTTTACAGTAAAAATATATTTATAAGGCTTGTCGCTGAAATACATATAGATAGGCCTTAATAGTTATTATTTACTATATGTTGATGCTTTTTAAGTCAAGGAGGGGATATAACTTTAAAAACATTATTATTTTTTAGCAGTCGTAGAAAAAGCAATAGTACACATAGTAAAATAATACTATATAATAATAATAATAATAATAATACAAATAATAATAATAATAATAATAACAACAACAATAATAATAATTTAAAAGCGTTTTTCCATGAAAATCCCATTCCCTCCCATATTTATATATATATATATATATATATATATTATAATCAGTTCACGAACAGGCACGCTCTTCGTACCGTCTTTGGGAAAATGGAGTCGTGGTACCTGTCAAGGCCACTGCGAAGTGGACGAGACGTGCGCGACGGGCCATTTTCCGAGACACGAGTCCGCACAAATGGCGCTCTTGCTCTGCCTGTACACAGGAATCTGATTAGGCACGCCCCCCCGCACACAGCACACACGCACGCACCTACGCACACACACGCACCCCCCTCCCCGCAACACACACACACACACGACACAACACCACAAACACACACCACACCCACACGACCAACACAACACACACACCACCACACACACTCACACCACACACACAACACGACACACACACACACATCACACACACACACACACACACACACACCCACCCACCCACCCACACGAAACACACAGCGATATTAAACGAAAATAATTTATTTATTGATAACCTCCTTTTACCATGGTCAGGAAAATAGTCATACATTATGATTGACTAACGAAGGATTGTTGTGACAAAAAGAGTTTATTAATAAATTTCTGTAATAAATCTGATATAAACCTATATAATGTAATAATTATTACCTACTAATCAACTAAATGAACAAACAACATTGTTGTTGTAGGAATATTTTATGGAAAGGTTTACAGATTTCAAAGCTCTTGGCTCTCTTCAACATACCTCTCACGTGATGTAATGAAATTAAAAATTACATAATAACTAACGAGAATTATAGAGTCTGTCCTTGACATAACTTTATATCATTTCTAATGTAAACCTTTTTTGGGACTACTCTTTGACGGCTACCTTTTGGTTATAGTAGAGTAGAACTTAATTTTTGATAGACGTAAGAGGTAATAGGCTATTGTAATAGCTTCCCTTGAAATCTCCGCGCACGCGCATAATCTGTTAGTCAAAAACTTATCTCTTTGTATTATCGGAGGGGGGAGCACTCACCCTCCGAGTCGGGGATTTTTATTAAGGGGACAATAGATTAAGTAAACTAGACTTTACTTCGACTCGGCGACGTGCATACCGCGATTTGCGACGGCCCACTTACTGCTCGCGACAAGACCCCTTCTATACCGGTCGTACGTAAAGGTTGAAAGTTTACGCCGGCCTTATTTTGTCAGGGCTTGTACTCGTCATATGGAGTATCTTTCGACTACCTGTAGTGTGGACGTCTAACCCTCCTAAAACTCCCTAGACAAAGAGAAACGTCCGTAGCCCGGCGGGGCACACTCTTTTTATCTTTGAGCCCCGCCGCAGAGGCGACCCCCCCGTAACAAGGACGCCCAGTCCCACTCCTCCTAAAAGGAGAGTTATTGGACGTAAAAATTTGTATTAAAGTCCTAACAAATTCCCGTCTACACACTACCTTTACAAAAGATCAATCTTCGGCTGAACTGCGTACGCACACACTCCTCGGCCCCCTCTTCTCGCACTCTTTTCTGCGTCTAGTCGGAGTTCTTCCCTTATGGTCTCTTTATTGGGTATTATAGTGACTAGGGACACATGTTTTATTTAACTGAACCGGTCTTACTCTGGCATAAAAAAATGGACAAAATGTCTTATGTTTATAAAGAAATATGATTTGTATAAAACGGTATTTGCACATAAATTTACGTTATGAAAACGGACAGGGCATTTAAAAGAAGATAATTCGTAAAGTAGAATATAACCAGTGTTATATAATCGAACTGGTAACACTACACCTCTGTACACTTTCTCTCTTAGAAGGAAACTTCACCGGGACAAACACTGTGTGTGTGTGTGTGTGTTTGTGTGTGTGTGTGTGTGTGTGTGGTGTGTGTGGTGTGTGTGTGTGTGTGTGTGTGTGTGTGTGTGTGTGTGTGTGTGTGTGTGTGTGTGTGTGTGTCTGTGTGATGTGTTGTGTATGCTGGTGTGGGTTGTGGTGTGTGTGTGTGTGTGTGTGTGTGTGTGTGTGTGTGTGTGTGTGTGTGTGTGTGTGTGGTATTGTATGTACGTAACTACTCTACCGTTATCCTAGCTAGGTGTTTTTGTAGGCGCACACCCGTATGCGACACGCGCGCCCATCCTTATATTATATCGGTACATACTCTTCTGTTGGGAATTTTTTTAGATGAATCGTCACATTGATTTGTCTGTGCTGAGACGAGGCTAGTGTCGTTAAGTCATAACTTGTGTGAAACACACACACACACACACACCACACACACACACACAACACCACCCACACACACACACACACACACAACCACACACACTTACATACACACACACACACACCACACACACACACACACACACACACACACACCAACACACACACACACACACACACACACACACACACACACCACACACACACAACCACACAAAATTATTAGTGTCGACTTCTCTTTAGTATATAGTGCGCGTAATCGGGCTCCCGATAATCCGTTTACCAGCAGTCCCACTGTAAAACCGTATCATTTTGCTAGGAGACGGAGGAATTTGGTATGACAGTCGGACTACACTCGATACGTTGTAATCGTCCGAGTGTTACCGCGCAAAGAGTTCGTAAATGTGAACTACATTATAAAGGAACGACAAACATTAGACAGTGACTGTGCGAGTCGAGGCACCCTCAGTTGTAACTAAAAAATGTTACTTCCTGCTACGAATGACATACACTCAATAACTACCTGTAGAAGTCTCACTTTACAAAACCCTTTTGTCTATATATATTTATACTTTATTTTACACTATACGGAAGGTAGGAGGTTCTGACTCGGGTAAGTGTGACCCATCAAATCTCTGGTGGGATTCTCCTTTCCCAATTTCGCAGAAACTCTTTGTGTC